TCCCCCGGAGAGCTTCAGATGTTTTTGATGCTTCCAACTTCTAGGGAGTCTACTGTATGGTACGAGTAGTTAGTGGAGAGATAGATATAAAGCGTTTTTTAGTTCCAATCCCTCTCTTCTAACTCCCTACTTGTGCACTAACACTCATTTGGTCCTGATCTTCCCTGAGCTCCCCTCGATTGTTGTCCCCCCATCACCGAATAACCTCAACCTACTTGAGTGCAGGCTCTGCCCCAGTGTTACTAGAGTCCAGAAGAATACCATCATCGCCACTTTGATCGCCCCGTTCGTCGCCATCAAATATTTGTTTATCACACTTCTTTATCTTTAACCCAATTCTCACTCTTTTCTACCTCCTCGGATCTGTCGTTGACATCTTCAGCTCCTACTCTCCCCTACTAAATTATACGGTGGCTGGCTTGACGTTCCCTACTTTGCCTAAGTTGTGCTCCTTCGCTTGCTCGAAGGAATCAGCGTTTCTGCTCTGGCCTCGAAAGTCAAAATAGGTTTGCTAAGAGGTCACAGGGCCTCGCGTAGCAGCAATGACCACATTCGTGGCTTCCCTGTAAGCATTTTCATCCCTTCGGAGTTTCCCTCTGTCGTCGACTGCATTTCAGCCCTACCCGATCCGCCGGGATACTGATATTTTCTATGCAGCCACCTCCCCTATACCGTCCATTTTGACAATGGCACCGAAACTCCTCAGCATAGGTCTCCACTCGGATCACCCACTGCCTCTCGGGAGAGGGCCCATTCGGACTCCCAGAGGTCACCACCGCGAATGAAGTTGGCAGCCAATATCAATAACCGCGCCGAGGCAGTTCGCACTCCCTTTGAGACGCCAACTCCCGTGCCGAATCTTCTCCAGACGCTTGGCAGAAGTCTCTCTTCGATATCGGCGAGCGAACCAACCCCTCCTTTAACCCCGACAGCCGCCGGGAGCCCTACAGGCGAGGAGCTCTTCTTCCATCTCGGTGCCTCTGAAGATGCGCTATCATGCTCTCCCAGTGGGCTGGTTTTTCCCCCAGAGCCCCGACACTCAAAACCGCAGGCGGGAACGCCACCACCGGGCTCTGTCGAGAATATTATTGCCTCCGACGCGCAGGGTCTCGAAGATAGCTACTTTCCTTTTCCCACCACCTACAAGCGCGAAAAGCGCCGGTCGTCTGCATCTGAACGGAGTAGTTCATTTACGGATAAGTCTTGGCGCATCGAAAGAACCGATCAAGGCAATGGTGGATTGAAGAACGCCGTCGAGGCTGCAATTTCTTCCGGGGTTATGGAGGACAAAACCTGGGTTGGAACATTGGGGTCTCCTGCGGATGCCCTTGAGGAATCGGTGAAAGTTGCAATAGAGGGGCGTCTCCGCGAGGATTACGATTCACTTGTAGCTTTTCCAAAGGATAAAGACTTCGATAGCCATTATAACCATTACTGCAAAGAGGTTTGAGTAATCTCTCAAAGTTATGCCCGTAAATATACTGATTGTTTTTCCAGGTTCTGTGGCCTGTTTTCCACTATCAAATTCCGGATCACCCAAAGAGCAAGTAAGCGGAGACGGCTCCTTGAATTTTTGCAGGGGAAAAATGGTAAAAGGTCTAATTTGTATCTGCAGGGCCTTTTTGGATCACTCATGGAAATACTTTGAGACCGTTAATCGTTGCGTTGCCGAAGTCATCATTAAGGATTACAAGCGTGGCGATACCGTTTGGGTTCACGACTATCACTTGCTCCTAGTCCCCAGGATGGTCAGAGAAGCCCTCGGCCCAGAGGCCAAGATCGGATTCTTTCTCCACGTGGCATTCCCATCCTCAGAAATCTTCCGCTGCTTAGCGCATCGTCAGCAGCTGTTGGAGGGGATGTTGGGGGCTTCGTTGATCGGATTCCAGACGGAGGAGTACACACGTCACTTCTTGCAGACCTGCAGTAGATTGCTGTGTGTCGAGGCCAAAAATGATGGGTTAGAGCTTGATGACAGGTTTGTTAATGTTATTAACTTGCCGATTGGTATAAACCCCGTTCAACTGGAAGAGAAGAGGAAAGAAGAAAAGGTTCAGGAGTGGTTGGATACCCTCAAGACGAGATATGCCGGAAAGAAGTTATTCGTCGCCCGAGACAAGGTGTGTTCTCCCCGTCCTTCCGGGATTATTCTTGGCGCTTATTATTTCTAGTTGGACGGTGTGCGAGGTGTTAGGCAGAAAATGTTGGCATTTGAGCTCTTTCTAAAGAAACATCCCGAATGGGTCGGGAAGGTAGTTCTGCGGTTCGAAATTTTTAGATATGAGTATTAACAGTCACCAGGTCATTTTGATACAAGTCGCTCTCACTACGACTTCCATTGTTGAGTCGCAATCAACCGTTATCGATATTGTAACTCGCATTAATTGCGTGTATTCCACTTTGGATTACCAACCGGTCGTATACCTCCACCAAGACATCAGCTATCAACAGTATCTCGCTCTCCTTGCTATCGCTGACGCCCTCATCGTGACGAGCCTTCGTGATGGTATGAACTTGACAAGTCATGAGTTTGTTTACTGTCAGGATGAGAAGCATGCACCTCTTATTCTCAGCGAATTCACCGGGAGTGCTTCTGTGTTTGATGGTGCCGAGATATCTGTGAACCCCTGGGACCATAGCAAATGTGCCGATGCACTCTACCAGGCTCTCACAATGCCGGAAGAAGAGAAGAGCGAGAGATGGAAGAAGTTGCACAAGATTGTTATGCACCATAATGCAGCGTATTGGTGTCAGACATTCATAAATGAACTTGATCGTGCTTGGGAAGAGCAACAGCGACGCGGTTCAACTACTATCCCGAGACTATCCACAAAGGCCCTTGTGGAGGCATACGGGGAATCCGAGAAGAGGGTTTTCTTTTTGGATTATGAGGGGACATTAGCTTCTTGGGGTTCTCCTACAAGTATTATTCTCACAAGCCCCCAACGCACTCTGGACGTTCTGCACGACTTGCTTCTTGATGAGCGAAATGTGGTGTACGTGATGAGTTCCAGAACTCCTGAGGTATGGTTTCTATTTTTTTATCTTTCCCTTTATTTTTATTCCCTTGGGCCGAACGGCTCACGGTATAGTACTGATACGTGATGCAGGAGCTTGAGCGTCTCTTCCACCGAGTTCCAGGAATTGGGCTCATTGCCGAGAGTGGCTGCTTTATTCGCTTGTTACAAAACGACCGTTGGTTGCGCTTGGCGGACAATAAGCTCCCGTGGAGGCGGAGTGTGAAAGAGATTATGGATTACTACGCCGAAAGGACACCTGGTACTTTCGTAGAGGAACGGAATTGCTCTTACATATGGCACTATGGCAGGGCGGAAGATCAGACACTCGCTGCACGGCAAGCTGGCGAATGCTGCAATCATGTGAACGACTCATGTGAGAGCTATAATGTTCATGCAGTCCCCCTAGGCGGGGCAGTCCTGGTAGAGTCTATGGACTGGACGAAGACTACTGCAGCACAAAAGGTCATGGTCTTGGAGGCCGGACAGGACGAGCCCGGCACAGACTTCCTGATGGTTATGGGAGACGGCCGCGATGACGAACCGGTCTTTGCTTGGGCGAATGAATTGGGCCGGAGTGGGGCAGTCAAGAATGTAACGACTGTTAAAGTGGGAACCAAGAACTCTCAGGCAAATACAACCATCACCGGTATTGCGGGTAAGTTTGATTGCGAAAGGATTGTTCTAGCATGTGAGCGTGCCGAATGGTTGGCTGACAATTTTCCGCGAATTAGGTGTGCTCACTGCCTTGCATAAGCTCCCTGCTACAATTCCCGATTTTTAAGCGGGGCTTCTATTTTGTTTTTATTTCTGATCAATTAGGCGTCGGGATTTCCCTTTTCTGCCGGGCTCTCTTTATTTTCTTTTGGAAATCTGTAAGGTTGATATCAAAAACACCTGCTTGCGCCCCTTTCTCACCCCTAATCTTCTCTTTTTTATTGCTTTCTTTTTTCGTCTGGGGGATCAGTCGGTGGCAATTATTGGGATGCCGTAGGGTATTGATCTGATTGTCGATCTGCCTTGCTGGTTCGCAGGACCTCTCTCTCTTTCATTCATCTCCTTCTCTCAGTCGGGGGTCAGTCGGTTGGCCCCCCTCTGAACGGACGAATGTTTCTGCATGGTGTACTGTACACATCTAACCCGGGTACCTACATAGATGAGGCCTCACTCGGGGGGGGCTGAGAAGAGCGGAATGATTGAATTACGAATTGGAATTTATATACCGTGCACATACGGAGTGCGAGGGTGGGAACTGCCCCGGCGCGATGGTGCCGGTGTCGACGGGGGGTGACATGACAGGTAGTTATGACCACGACCTAAGCTACGGTAAAAGTGTAATACTAGGCCTGCGGTTTAGGATAAAATATTGTAGCTATCAGCTCTGTCCTAGGCTACAGAACCATGTCGCTGAAAAAATCTCTCCATGAGGCGCAAACACATCATTACCCGTAATTCCTCCAAAGACCCACCCACCCATCGCTCCCCGTCTCCTTCCCCCCTCATGATGGACAGGCGACCCATAGTACTCGAGCACCACACTCAAACAACTCTCAAAAGTAAAACTCATACCCACACCCCTGATCACCATCCCTTCCATCCGATTTGAATCTTATCTCTCACCGAACCCACTGGTCAAATGCGGGGTACTGTACCCCAGCCTTACAAACCCACCCAGCCCAGCCCCAAACAAAATACTCCCTGTCAAGTTTGCTACCGGTAGGGTGGTCGCCGGGGATCCGGAACCCACTGAGCGGGGCTCGCCCTCTCGCTCACTTGGCGAACTTCTCTTACGGTAGTTTGAAATTCTCCCTCGGGCTGATTTCCCCCCACTCTACTCGAGTAACTTCTTTCAATCCTAAGTGCTCATGGTGTATCACTCGAATTGTCTTGGCGGGGCAAGTCAGATTTGATGGGCGCTTGGGGCTCCCGGTTGGCAGCCTATCAGAGCAATAAATTTACTATACTGGACCATATCTCGAGTGCTCGTGCACAAAGTTACTCCTCCGCAAAAGGCTTTGTGATTGCGAATTCTTACCGCGGTGGTGGTAAACCATAGCTTGTGAAATTGGAGTAGCTGTACAGCTGCGACAAAGGTAACCGGACAATGACATTAGATTTATAGTGGCCACTAGTCTGGTTGCCATGGTAATGGTGTTAGTGTAGCAATGGTATCTGAGTCTGTGTTCAACAAATTGATACCATACTAGTACCACTGAGAAGTGCCTACAAGAAATGCTAATGGAAAGTGATATGAAGCAACCGAAAAAAAAACCCCCATTTTCAGGTCATTGAGTTGCATTTTGAAGGTTATTCCTATTATTGGATTCAGCAGTGAACTGGCTATGGGAGGAGTGCAGTACAGTGTATAGTGAAGTACTGGGAAGAGAAAAATAACAATAAGGATATAATATACTCTGGCTGGCTCAATAAAACTCAACTCTTAAGATGAAAAACTAATTACAACTCTCATCAAAAACAATCCCTATATCATGATTGCAGATATCAATCAATAGTCAGACTTTTCTATAAGTGAATATTTAATTACCAATAAGGTCCTTTCTTAAAAGTATTGAAGCTATATTGCTTCAAGGGAAGAGGTAATTCTACCACTAAACTGGGTAAACTGGCTGGTTTGAGCTTAGAAAAAGTAGGATTGGACTACAAGAAATTAGAGAAAACTTATTTTTACCAATAAAACTACCTATTTAAGTAGGTCAATAAGGAAGTCCAAGAAGAGTTTATTGAAAGACTGGTAGTGGAGATCAAGAGTGTTATTAAGACTAGCAATAGCAGTTGAGATGCTCAGAATCTGTTCCAACATAGTTCATCCATGATTACAAAGGGTTTTCATCAAGTACTGGATGTACTTTTACTTCTTTATTCTGAGTTTGTCAGACCTCCTACTAACCCAGTTCCAGAACATATTACAAGGGATTAGAATAAGATAAAGTACTTTAAAAATATCTGAGGTGTAATAGATGGGACTCATATTGAGGCCCATATTCCAGCAGCACTACAAGTACTATTTTGCAATTGAAAAAATACCTTATCCTAGAATGTACTTACAGGATGTACTTTTGACATGTATTTTATTTACTATCTACCTGGTTGAGAAGGATCTGCAAGTAATGCTCAGGTCCTTAAGTAGGCAATGTTGCATAATTTTCCTCAGTTGTCTGACTGGTTTTATCTGGCTAATATTAGATATAGATTATAAAAGAGTACTCTTACTCCTTATAAAGGAATACAATATCATCTACAAGAGTAGGTCAAGGCAGTACAGCAACCCAAGAATAAAGAACACTTTAATATTTGACATACTCAATTGTGTAATGTGATTGAGCAGATTTTTAAGGTATTGTAACAGATAGGGTGTGAGGGTCGGGTAGCCCAAGGCACACCACGATCTGGGCAGACAGGATTCTGGAGATGAGGTCTAGGTGCGGGAATACAACTGGAGTGAGTTGTACGAGGTTCAGGGTTCAGGGGTTCAGGGTCAGGGTTCAGGGATTCAAGAGGACATTGGATGATAGAGGGTGTAATTCCTAGGTACAGGTGTCCAAATTATATCTAATTTTATTTATACTCGCCGCGCCAAAACATGGCTTATGGTCGAGCGATCATCCTATCATACACCTACCATAAGGGCAGGTGGGCCTCCGGCGGACCACAAGCGGACCGGAACTGCCTCGCAAGTCACAGCCTGGGGCCGGGGTCCCCACAATACACCGGCGCACTCCTCCAAACAACTACCATACAAAGCGCACAAGCCTCCAAGTCCCAACCATCAACACCTCCGCGAGCGAGCAAACACGAAAGCTAAGTACAGAATCCATCACCGACCCTCGCCTCCCCCGCACCAACCGACAAACCGACACCCAACCCAACAAGAACAGAGCGACCGAGGTCCTTGGTCCCACCAGGCGAGGGGAAGGTAGTTACGGCCCGCGACCATCCCAAAAATAAAACAAATCAAAAATATCAAATCCGGTCTTAATACCGTCCCGCAAGTTCCATATCATCCTCCACAGTAGAATCCCACCCGTCACCCCCCACCAACCCGCCCGGAGAGTACCCTAGCTCAGCGAACTGTTCAGGGGTAAACTCCTGGAGAGCGGCGAACGTACCATCCAGCGTAGCCCTCGAGACAGAAGCCGAAGCCTCGCCCCACTCCCGGCCACGCCCCCTCCCCGATCGCCGTTTGCGCCGCCGACCACCAGAGGAACTAGCCTCCCCGCCAGCAACATGTCCAACCCCACCCTGCACTCCCACCTCCTCCACCAGCGCCCGCTTCCTAGCCTGCTGCCCCGGCAACCTCAACCCGAGAAAGTCAGACATGCTAACTCCCTTGCTCATACTGGGAGGTGAGCTCAAAGCCCGACGCCCTACAGGCGCCACCGACGGGAACCGAGTCTTGTACCGCCCCGCCACATACGGGTTCTCTCCATTAGGCCAGTGCCCACGAGGAAAGTGCCCAGGGGGGAGGTCCGGACCCACAGCAACATCCACCAATACCGTAACCACCGAGCCGTCCGACGAGATAGACCCATCAATCGACACAATTGAGGGGATCTCCCAGCTATGCAGCCTCATTACAG